AACAGAACGTTTGATAATTTCAATTTATAATAAAAATAAAACAATTTAGAAATTATTGTAAATTAATATAAGGATAATGTAAGAGTAGTAAAAAAGAAGTTACATAATTTTGAAACAAAAAGAAAAAAATTAAATTAAAAACCTGTTAGAACATAATTATATAAAATCAATAAAAGGACAAAAATGTTCATTTGTAAAATTTTAAATTTCAAAAAGGAAACTTTTCTATCATTCATCTCTTCTTCATTCTTTTTTCTTCCTCTCTTCCTCCCTCCTTTTTTTTTTTCCACTTATCGCTCTTCATTGAATTTCTTACAAAATTTACATTTATCGTTTCGTTTTACATTTAAAAAACGAGGAAAGAAAGAAATACACACATACAGAGGGAAACGGAAGGAGAAGAAAAGAGAGAGAGAGAGAAAGAAAGAATGAAAAGAAAAGAGAGAGACAGAGAGAAGTTATTTTTATTCAAAACTTTGTTTACTGATGTGATGTGTGCAAAATGCCATCTCTCTGGTAGAAAGAATGATAATATCGATGATTTGGTATCGTGTTGGAACACTAAATGACTGTATCGATGATAGCAGAATGAATGATAATTTACATAGTTGTAGCTGTTCCCCTACAGCTAACCTTTGGCTTATTATAAATGCTAAAAATGATATAAAAGAAATGAAATAAAAAAGAAAAAAAAAGTAGAGAGGGAGAGAAGAAAAAAAAAAACAAGCAAAAAATAAAAAACAATAAAAGAAATGAATTATTTTTTCACAATATAATAATAGTAATAAATATATTTGAATTCATATAAATGTAAATGATAGCAGTGGATAATATATGAATGAATGATATTTTAAAAAAAAAAATGATGATAATTTAAATATGAATTGATAATAAACAATTACATAAAATTTTTCATTTAATTCATATCTTTAACTTAATTTAATAAAGTTACTATGAATTTTCTTTTGTTTTTGTTCTTTTTTTTTTATGTTTTTTTTTTAAAATTTTTCAATTGGAGATTGATTATTATTTCAAATGTCTGAAAATTCTCTTTTTTTTTTTTTCTTTTTTAAAGCATAAGGAAAAAACAGGAAATTTTTATGGTGCTTATCGAAATAGCTTTTTTCTTTTGTCCTCTTTCTTTCTCCTTTCTTTTTCTTTTTTTCTTTTTTTTTTTTTTTGTTTACTTTTGATAGAAAATTTTCGGAAGCAAATATGTCGTAATTTGTAGTTGGATCATTTGCTTCAACACAATAAAATGAATACATTAGAAAGGATTCAATAAAGCTTGTCAAACAAAAAAAAAAAAAAAAAAACTTTTCTCCTTTTTCCCATGAAATGTTCATTGACAAATTATTTGAGAAACATTGATTGATTAATGAGGAATGATCCAAGAAGCATTCGGAGAATTAATAGTTTGAAAAAAAACAAAAAAGCAGCCAACATTTTAACCACTGAAATTTCATGCCATAACAGTAGAGCAAATGTTAATGTCACCTCAACGAATAGTAAGCATAAAACTTTTTTCTTTCTTTCTTTTTTTTGTGTTAAAACAACTAATAAAAAACAAAAGAAAATTCATAGCATCTGCTTAGTATTTTCTTTTTTCTTTATTCTTATTGATAAAATTTTTATCAAATTTATCTTGTCCTTTATTTAAAACGAATTTTGTAATTGTCAATACAATAAGAAGAATTCAGGTGAATTACAAAAATTTTTATTCATTTGACTGATAATATCACTAACAAATTTTGTTCTTACAAATAATTGATAATATGAGTAATAACTATTCATGCGACAAAATAACTGACCATTGAAATTAACGTTTCATTCAAAGTTTGATAATTTAGAGAAACAGAAGATGATGGTGATGTGAAATGGAGGAGTGCTATTGCGCCGATTAAACTATTTCTCTCTTCAATTCTTTAAATATTAAATAAGGATAGCATCGTGTTGCTTTATTGATCGACAAACTTCCAGCCTGATTTTTCAACCTTTCATCATAATAATTAACCATTTAGAGGAATAAATCAATAAGCAGGTAAATAATGAACTAGCTAAGAAGCACATTTGGAATAAATGCTGCTGAAAAAAAAAATATGAAATTAACTTATAAAAGATTGAAAGAGAAGAATAAAGGAAGTGGTGGGGGAATTATCTTTATTTTAGCTTTTTTTTTTTGAAAAATTTTATCTAAAGGAGTATTTTTTTTTTTAAATTTAATGCCACTTAAGTATGCATTTATTTCTAATGAAACATTGATTATTCTGGTCACTTTTATGGAAAATAATTTGATCAAATTATCTATTGAAATTCATAAAATGCTCAGTAAATAAAGTGTGAAACATCGAGAATTAAATCATTTGATCCTAATGGATAGCTGTATTAACAGCACTAGCATAGTTATAATGAATGATTTAACGTGTTTTTTTTTTTATTTATCATTAAAAAAACTATTATGTCATAATTGTTCTTACCATTACTTTCATTTTGAGTGAGTTTTTTTTTTCTCTTTTTTTTTTTTTTTTAAGGAAATAGAATAAGGAGAAGAAAAAAAAAAAGAAAAACTCTTTCGCTCATTTCATTCTATTTTGGTATTTTCCTTCTTTTCTTTCAAAATAACAAATTTTCATAAGATTTAACAGGTTATATGCATGACTAGTTCTGATCGTATACAATTCATTCAAAAGTTTATTCAGCAATATATGACTATATTAAAATTTATTCCTGAAATTTAAGTTAAAAATAATAGTTTTAGTAGCCATTAATTCTGAAACCCTTAACGATGAAAATGTCACACTCTTAACATTCTTATCCTATCATTCATTCATCATTCTCATTTCATTTTCAACTTTTATATCCATTTTTCTGACCAAATATTCAATACATTCGTCTTCCTGATTTGCCGATTTTTTTTTCTTTCCTTTTTTTTTTTTAATAAATATAAAAATTTTATAATAGATACTGAAATGATATTAAATGCTGATAAGGACAGGAATGTTTTGATATCTTTAATCATTGATGCGTTATGATATGGAATGGAGAAAGGTATATAGAGAGAAGAATGATGCCACGATAAGAGGAGCAATGTCCACTACAGCATAATTGAATTCCGCCTGTTTGAAAAATTGTAAATCACATACCCTACAGCAAACAGCAATAATTATCCATCAGTAGCAGTGTAATCATCATTGTATCAACCTGTCACTGATAACCTTTCACTTACGAATAACCTTTCACCCACCCCAATCACCATTATTAATCCAACAATTGTCAAATCAAACAAATGATCATTATCCTTATGTTCATTCATTTCATTTGCCATCTATAATAATTTATACCAAATATAATTTTTATAGCATTAAAATAATATTTTACGGGATGCTACAATTCAAAAAGCTCTTCATTTTCTTTTTCAAATCTAAAAAAAATCTTTCTAAATTTAAGTTAATTATAATAAATAATAAAAAATAATAATAAAATTTTTACAACATGGTCTCATATATGCAATTTTATCATGAAAGAAAAGACATAGAACAATTAATGTGATATACTGAAATCGTATCAAACTGATAGCTTCTTGCTCATCAAATCATAAATAAGGAAATTTTTGGATAAAATGTCGAAATCTAAAGTGCTAACAATTAGTGATAAGAATAAAAATCATTTAATCAGAACCTTTAAAAAGAAAAAAAGAAATCATAATGCTGTCCTTATCACAAAATTTGGTTCCCAAAATAAAAGCATCTTAGGAACAAAGGCTACTGAGAGAGGGAAATTTATAATTTACATAAACTTTGCCTATTTCTAAAATTTTACTAATTCCGATTGCAATGCCAAATAACTGTACCTGGTAAGTTATAATAATTTCATATTTAAAGTTACTGGTTCAACATAACTATTTTAAAAGAGAAAAAAAAAGATGAAAAAACTCCTTCTGCATCCCGATAATCTTTCTCTCTCTCTCTCTCTCCTCCGTTTTCTGACCGTATTGAAAACTGATCTAACAAAAAATATTTAGTATAAGCTTATACTTATAAATTCTTTTCATTTCACCAACTAATAAGAATTTAATTTTTTTGCATTAAAATTTAACTCTTTCTTCTTTTTTCCTCTTTCACTGCTTTTTTCTTTTTCTCCCTCACACCAAACATTAAAATTGTGATGAACAAAAAGAAAAGTTCATTTCGTTTTTTTTTTTTTTGAAGTGATCAAATAAATTCATATTGTTGACTATGTGAAAGAGAAAGAGAGAGAAGGGACGGAGAAGGAAAGAGAGAGAGAGGGAGAGAAAAGCTGCTATATTTACTATTTTGTGTTACTAATTACTACTACTAGTAGTAGTAATTAGTAACAGTAGTAGTAGAAGTAAAAATTATAAGAGGAAAGAAGAAATTCTTTGCCATAAGAAAAAGGTGGCAAATTCATTACGCCAAACAAGAAAATGACACGAATTTAATTCCTATTAAAATATTTTCAAGTCTTTTGCACAGAGCAATTGAAATGAGAGTAGTTTGTTATGCGTATGTGTGTGTGTATGCATGTATACGTGTGTATGTGGATGCGTGTATGTGCATATATATGTTTGTATGTTGTATATATGTATATGTGTATGTGTATGCGTGTGTGCATAAATTTCTCTAAAATATGTAGACGACGCGACGTAAGTTTTCATAGTAGCTCCGCTTGCAGACACATATATGACTTGTCATTGCTGCATAGAGCGATTTGGATTCAATGACAGGTGGTTTGTAGTAGTTGGGTGGTGGGGGAAAAAAGAGACGGAGTTTTCTAATATTAATTTTTTCCTGCAGTTTCAAGTTAACGCTAAGGTTAAGCTCTTCTGTTATATAGTACTATTATCAGTTCTTTTTTATCGTTCATATTTTTCATTTCATTTAGCTTGAAAAGCAATTGGGAGTAGGTTGACAAAAGAAAAAGGATATGCCATGCTGGAAATAAAATTTTTAAAAATTAATTTCCAGGATCATCTATGACGTATGGATATTGAGCATTATGTGTTAGCTGTATTTATAGCTATTGCTAGCGCATTGGTTTTGGTACCATCGTTGAAGCCAATTTTTAAAATATCCTTACTACTAATTACACTAACACTGATGGCCCAAGTATTGCGACGTATGTTTGGCCTTCCATCTAATGTTCCTGCCGTATGTTGTTGACGATGTATTGTAAAAATTAAAACAATTAGGAATTGAGATTTGAAGTGTTAATAGGGATTTTTTTTACCTATCTTTCCCTGCCAATGAATCATGAAGATTATGATCCATAGTTTTGGTTAATTCATTTTAATTCCTAGTAGTGCAAGTGATTTAAGTGATTTTGAAGTCTGTTCAAAACTTAATGGTGTTTTTATCATACACCTTACTTTCAGGCTAGCGAGTTCTTCAAAGGTTTTCGTGTTGGTGGACATCGAGGTGCACCGAAAGTTGCTCCTGAAAATACGATTGAATCGTTTGAAAAGGTTCAACCACCATTTTTTTTATAATTACCATAATTTTGTTACTTTCAGACCATTTTCCTTTTTTCTCTGCTCCTATGCCTCTAATAAGTAATATTTCAGGCAAAATTATCAGGTATGGATTTGGTAGAATTTGATTTAACGTTAACGAAGAATGGTATTGTGGTGATCATGCATGATGACGATCTAATGAGGACATGTGGTGAACCAGGATTGATTGCATCCTTTACTTTAGAAGAATTAGGAAACAAAAATGCCGGGAAGACGTTCCAATCATTAGGGTAAGTTTAAATCGGTATACCTTGTCGCCCATATTTTGATAGATTTGTGTTTTTGTTTGCTTCGTTAGAGAAGAAATTTGTTATTTGTTTTGTTTCTTGCTGCTGATGAATGGCTTTTCACATCTAGTCATGCATGCTAACTTGAAGAACAAGTATTAATTTGAAGCAATTTAGAAAGTCAGTTAAGAATTCATTCCCAACACCATCAGTTCAACAAGCAGGTAGACTGGTTTTGCTGTTGGTGGGCACAGTCGTACTCGATGTTTAAGTGCTATATTGACGGATTGACGGAACAGATTGTACTGATAGTAAGTGGTATTACTTACGGGTAATCCTGTCGGATTTTTGCCTAGCAAACATGAGAAGGTTATCGTTGTCCTTCGCGCAAGTCTCTTTCAGTATTTCGTTAAAAAGTTGACAGAAATCATAATGCTTAGTGGGTTGATTCGACTTCTTTCGTGCTTGTTTTTTATTCCTTTCTACTTCTTTTATGCATGATTTTTTGCAGTTCATTTGATAGCCAAACGGCTTCGAAAGTTTATCATATACCAACTCTGGAGGCCACCGTGAAATATTGCCGAGAAAACAACTTAAAAATGCTATTCGATGTGAAAGATAGCAGCTCCGAGGTAACTTGCTTACTGAAATACCAACCATCTTTTAGCATGGAATGGCACAACATAAAAGGTCTTTAATGTTCGGATACGTTGGTTTTTGTGATTGCTGATCTAATTAACTCACAGTTTTGTTTGTCATTTGCAGTTAAATAACTTACAGTTTGTTATTTGCTTAGTTTCAAGCACTTAAAAAGTTTAAAAATCGTTCACAGTAATCCAGAATGGTATTTCATATAAATTTCATATGAACAGTTTCAGTTTCCAGTTAATTTCAGATGGTTTCTCAAATAGTATCAATAATATCATCTAATAATTTGTACGGTGATGTGATCGTTTCTTCGTTTTTTCCTTGGGTTCCATATGCTGTCAAGAAAATTGATCCCAATATATTAACTGGTGGGTTTTGTTAACTATTTAAATGATTTGAAAAGATGCTGCTTTTGTAGGAATATATATGAAAAGTAAATAAGTATTCTGTTCGTTGTGTTTTATCGTAATGATTGCTGAAATAAATTATAATTATTAGTTTAACGATGGAATTGTATTTTTATCCAAAATGTTACCATATAATGATATCTTTTACAGCTTATATTTAGGCGTTACATGGCGTCCATATTTTGCAACATATAAAGATTTGGAGTGTTGCATTCCACGATTCTCTGGACTGAAGCATTTTTTGGCATTGCTGTTAGATTATATTAACATGAAACTATTGGACAGTTTTCTACCACAGTTCCTGGGAGTTGAAATGCTACTCCTTTATGAGAAAGAAATATCTAGGTGTGGTGTGCATATATTTAACTAGCTAATGAAATTTTTTATTTGCCTTTCTACATCCAAATTTTGCAGTTTCTGATGTTCACTTTGAGATTTACCATACGAATAAAGTCTTTTTTTTTCTTTTCTCAAATTTTTCGAAATAAATAGAAATCCGTACAATTATAGCGGGCTGGTAGATAGGATGAAGAACTTGGACATTCAGGTGGTTGCATGGACGGTTAATGATCCTCGTCAAATGCTTTATTTGATCGATACATTGCAAGTATGCATTTCTACATTTTTGCTCATCAGCAGTGACTTCATTGTGTGGTCCGAAAGACTCAAACGATTTGGTTATTCTACCCAAGCTTGAAAATTCTGAAACTTTCATTGTCTAGAATAAATCATTTTCAGGTTCCTTTTCTAACAGATCTACCTCATGTATACAAAGATTTAAAAACTATACGAATGGAAATACAGAGCAAGGATGGAATCAAGAACTAAGTCGTTCTATATACTTCATAGAAAAACAGTTGTTAAAGTAAGGATAAGTTTTTTTTTTTTTTTCTTGTCTTTATTTTATTTTTTAGATATTTGTGTTACATGGTCGGTTCTCTGAGAAAGTAGGTTATTTTTCATCTCCTTAGATATGTGGTTTTTTTTCCGTTTCAGGGTATTAGGAATTCTTATGGTATTTCATCTTTTTTCAATAGGAAGAAGTGTGTATTTTGACATTGCTGTAATGTATGATATTATTGCACCATTCTCAGAAATTTGATATATTTGGAATTTCTATATAAATTTATAATTTCTATATATGAATTCATATTCCGGTGCAAGAATTGTGACATTACTTTTTCTGTGGTTGTGGTTTCGTGGTCTCCAAATTGATTAGTAAATAAGAGATTTCTGCTGCCTTGCAAATTCATAATTACTAATTTCAAGAAAAAAGTAAATAAAGTTTGAAATGTTTTGTTGGAGGATTTGCGCTTCAATGCAAAATCGCATTACTTATATTCCTTTACAATTACTAATTTCAACTGCTGCGAATGTTTTTTCAATTTTTTACAAATTGTCGGTAGGGGAGACATAAATATGTACTGTTTATTGCTGGAAAAAAAAAAAGAAATAAATGTGCTAAACTAACTCCTTACTTGTGGTCTTGCAACATGCATTGTCTGTAAGGGACAGATTAAACGAAATGGCTCAAGAGTCGTAGCGTCATGGTTTTCTTCTAAGTTTTCAATTTTAAATAGTTCCGAGCAGGAAATATACGAAAGGAAGGGATAATATTTAGCACGATAAAAATAAGATGAAAGAAGTATGGGTTGAGAAATATGATAATTAAAATGAAAATGATCCGATAAATTATGTAAATATGTCAAGGAATACCAAGGTGAAATAGTGTCGAGGGTTAATGTTAAGAATAAAAGCCTCAATCTTTGAAATATCTGAAGTTACAAGTTTTGTTTAATTGAATGTTCGGGAATTTCAAATTTGGAAGAGTAATTCTCTTGTTGGATCCGGTGAGTTTTTCCATCAGCTCTTTTAGCTGTTCTATCAATTTATACCAGTTGATGCCGGAAAATCCAGAATAACAGTTAACTTCCATGAAATTTGCTAATGTATTAGTTTGGATTTCGCAAAGATTCTTCACACCTTCTCCGTTTAATTTCTCCAACAAAAAATTGATTCTATAAGGGAACGACATTTGTTATTGTAACTTCAATTAATTACATTGATGATTCATTCAGCAGCTTTCTGTGGTGATCATCATGTAGCGTTTAGTAGTCCAACATGGGTGGACCAATGGGGATCATTTTTAAAATCAATTTAAACTGACTTAAAATCAATCCTCTTGTCAATTTTGATATATTTATCGCATAATTCGGCCTATTTTTACTTGAATTTAACAACACCAATATTTTTATTCCAATTTTCTCATAAATCTTTTAAGAATTAATACTGATTGACATCATTAAGTTGAAATAAAATTTTTTTTAAGAATTACAAATAATATTTTATCGTGCAACATATATTGGAACCTAAAATGTCGACGAAAAAAAAAAACGCCACCATCATCAACCAATAATAATAAGGCCAATGAATTGCCAATATATGATTGAAACAGATATTAATTGTTATTAGAAGGTTGAGATTTAAAAAGTTACAATGTTTTACTATTTAAAAAAAAAAAAAACATCCTTTCTCGTTATCATTGTAGTAAAATTGACCTTTCTACCATTCTTCATAACCTTCATCGATCTTTTACTCTCGTGCTTTTTTATTTATTTTGATTAAAAAACAAAAATAATGATTGAATAAATCGGATGATAGTGAATTGCATTATCGATGTGTTGATTGTATTAGCTTTTAAGCAATTGCTTCTTCATCAGGTGGATTTCTTGCAAACTTTCTAGTCCATTCTGTCAACCATTCCTTCTTTTTTCCTCTTCTTCTTTCTTTCTCTTTTTCTTCTTTTTTTTTTTTTTTTTCTCCATAATTTTTCCTCTTCTATAAATCCATTTTCAAATTTCTATCATTCCCCACCATATTTAAATGCTATGAATTTTTATTCATTCGCGCAGGATGTCAGTCATTCACCAAAGTGATCAGCTGTTCATTTAATTTAATTTTGTGATTTTTCATCGTAAATTTCTTAGCTTTTCTTTTCATTTCTTTCTTTCCTTTTTTTTTTTCCCTCTCTCTCTCTCTCTCTTTTTTTTTTTTTTTTTTTTCAAATTTTTATTCACAGTGTACCAACCATTGCAACGGGAAATTTTTCTCAAATATTCAATTAAATGCAAAAATAGCAAAATTTTTTTTTCTCATTTGTTGGCATTTTCAATTAATTTCTGTAAAAATGCATTTCATAGTTTTCAGTGTTTGCTTTATTGATGTTTAAAAAAAAAAAAGTAATAAAAAGGAACAGAGAGAAAGGGAGGGAGGGAGAGAGATAGAGATGGAAAGAAAGGGAAGGAAAAGAAAAGGAGATAGGAGGAAGAGGAGGAAAAATTAAGATGAACATTTTTCTGGATGTCATGAACGGCTTTTTTTTTTTTTTTTTTTGCTTTCTTACGAAGAATTCGTCAAATATTTGAATTTAGACCATATTTCATTTAATTTTTTTTTTTTAAAAATTTTTTCATCAACTCATTAATTAATAGTTGGAATAAAAATTAATGCTTCAGCAGTAGTAAAATTTTCAATTATCATTCATTTTTATTGTATTTCTATTCCCATCACACATAAAAATTAATTAAATGGAATTTTCAATTGTAAGTTGATATAACATTTTGAAAATTGATATCTATAAATATTTGATATTGAAATATACACCATTTTTGGTTTATGACTATGACACTTCTTGATACGATCATTACAACAAACAAGTTACATTAATCCTTAGTTAAATGAGCTTTCAGCAAATGATCAACAATATTATTATAGCAATAATATATATTTAAATGTATATCTAAATAATCTCTTTAGGTTTACCAATGATTTAAACATTTTGTAATTTTAATTAACTATCATTAAAAATATATAATCCTTGGAATGAATAACAAAAAAAAAGTGTTATATTCATTTTCTTTCTTTTTTCTTCTTTTTTTAAAATATTATTTGAACTATTTTGTGCATATATCGGTATGCACTGAAATAATATAAACAAACTAAACGATAAAATTAAAATGTTTATTTATAATATTGAATGCACGTGAGATTATTTTTCAGTGAAATCAAACATTTTGATGTGCTAAGAGATTTCTATATTTTATTTATGTGCATTTCCAAAACAACTAAAATAGTAAAAAAGATTAAAAGATTTGAAGAGAAAAGAAAGTATGTTTGTGTTTCTATGTTCCATCATGTTATTATTTATATATAATCATATTTATATATTTATGTTATGTGTAAATATGAATGTAAATATGTGTAAATAAATAAACAAATAGATATTATATATATATATATATATATCAAATATGAGTAATGTATTGTTTATTTTTGACCTGAAATTAAAGAGAATAGGTTAGGAATAGAGGAAGAGGAGGAGGAGGAATGAATGTACGAAGGAATGCTTGGATGCTTCGCATGCTCTTCTCACCTTTCAGACCTCTCAATTTATCCAAACCCCTCCTTCACCTATTCCTCTCCTGTTCCCCTCCCCTCCCCATCTCCCTCCCCTTTTTCCCCCGCTTCTACACCTGGAATTATTCATGTAAAAATATTTTTATTAGACCGTACACGACTTTCATTAATATATATGTTAAATGAAATTGGATACATCATTTTGCCAAACTTTTCATATAAATCATTCATTTTTCCTGAAATTTCCTATAATCAATCCTTCTCTTTTTCCTCTTCTCTCATCTTTTCCTCTCTTTTTCCTCCTTCTTTTATCTTCCTCCTTCATCATCCTCTTCCTTTTCATATTTAGTTCAAAAAATAAAAATAAAAAAAATTTTTTTTTGTTGCATTTCATCGCATGTATATATATATATATATATTTTTTTTTTTTTCTTTCATTTATTTTCTTTTCCTATCCTTTTTATTTAATTATTCCAGTTTTCTTTCTCTTTTTTTTTCTTTCTGTTTTCCACTTTTTTTCAAAATTTAGTTAGCAATTCATTGATTTTTTCCTTCTTCTTCTTCAGTTTCTTCTTTCCTACTGATAATAATATGTATTTAATATTTCACATCCGATAAGATTAATTTTAGATTGTTTATTTCAAATATATATATATATATATATATATATATATATATATATATATATATTCATACTGAATGGATATTATTATGACCTTTTTTTTTTAATTTTGTTCAAATTTATCATTTTAATTAAAGTTTTAGTTTGTTTTCCTTTTTCTTCTCGTTCTCCTCCTCTAATTTTTTCTTTCTCATCCCTTCTTTCCCAGTCATTCTGTTATAAATTTTAATTACAAAGAAATATTTATTATTCAAAAATTTTTTTTTCTTTTATTTTAATACATCCCCGAAAATTTTGAAATGAATGTTTTGGTTTACTCATTACCCGTCAATATTTTGATAGAATTTAAATTGATGAATTCTAGGAAAATATTTCATTTTTTCATCTTTTTTAATATCCAAAAAAGGCAATACATTTTTTTTTTCCTCTCGTTTCCATTTTTCTTTTCCATTATTTTTTTTCAAAAAAAAAAAAAAAAAAAAATAAAAAAAACAAAAAAAAAAAAAAAAAAAAACACTGATTACACTATCATTAAGAATTCTGAAATCCTTTTTATTATACGCTTTTACAATTTATTCAAATGAAATATTATTAATAATATAATATAATCTAGAATGAATTAAAATGATCGTTTATGACTTTGAACATATATCCATATGTATATTTTAGCAATTATAAAACAAGTTTTACTCCTTCATTTTGAACAGTTGCGCACATTGGACTTTATATTTTCAACACAATCCTCCTTATAATATTCATTATAGTATTGTTCTTTAAAAAGAAAAATTAT